AAGTTTGACCTGGATTACTCAAAGGAGTGCACAAAAAGATGAATGTGAAATCTGTTGCCGTCCCACGCAATCCACTTGATTCTCATCTCCCTTCACTGCTCCCTTTGGGATTTCTCCTATCAACTTGAATTCCTTTCGGTAGGTGAACTAAGCTATTCAGTCCATCTTGGCCACTCTTCCAAATATAGCAGCCATCTTGTTCGGCTCACCACAACTCTCTTTGAAATGGCTGAATTTTCACTGATCTTAAAATTGCACAACTTGGAACTATGAAACAAAATTTGGTTAATGGAGACATGCCAGTTTTGAAAAAAAAAAACCTCACATTTTTCCAATAAAAAGTTCTTTGCTAGGATGAAATAGTTTTTCCGGCTGTTTTGAAATTACAGTATTTCTTAAAACTGCAATAGCAACACTTCTTTCACATCACACGAGTCGTGTGATCAACAACTGGATGTTACTATGGGTGGAAAAGACGAAGAAAATAACAGGAAGTGTTAGGGGATGATGGCATGTATTTTTTTTACAAACTTATTCACGTGTGATTTTAATTGCATTCCTTATTTAATGGAAATACTGCGATTGAGAAATAATGATTTTTCGACATTAGTGGAATAGCAATAAAGTTTTCACACATTTGTAACAGGAATGCGGCCAGCAGGCGATTGTTGTTTACAGTGAAGTTCATTTCTGGTAATCTTCTTAGCGTCAAACTTGAGACATATGTCCCAATCTCTAGCAATTGGGTAAAAGCTTAAACTTCAGCAGAGACCATGCCTCCAGCAGGAAATCGTTTCTTATTCGCCGAGTGTCCAGTCCCTCTGTAGCGAAGCAAAGCGTAGAACAAGGCTACTGGACACCTGATGTGGTGCATCGTTGTCTGGTGTGATGAGTTATCAACAGATTCTTCAGGACTGCAGTGTCCTTTTATACTTGCCTAAGATCTTTCTTTGAACTGGTCCTTCCTGTAGTTCTGGAAAAGGAAACCAGAGGTCCAAGAGCTCAGCAGGTAATATAGTCAACCTGAGGAAAGGAGAGCATCAATGAACAGGTGAGACATACCTCAAAAAGATGATCTGTTATGCTTCATTAAACAGCTTAGGATACGTCTATGTATGTATAAAACATGTTCATCACACTTTCCTTCATTCCTTTCAGAATGAGCTGTTTTAGGGCCTCTGTCACTTTAAATCCAAATAAGCTGTAATTCTGATTGAGTTACTTGGTAAGAGGCTGGACTTTGCTGGGGTTGCTAGGTAACAGATTGGACTTTGCTGGGGTTGTTAGGTAACGGAGTACTGCCTGCTGATTTACTACATTCAGGAGATTTTTGAAATGACTCATTTTCTAGACAACAAACATTAAAACTTAGTCCTAAAAACAGCTGGATGTTTTTTTTAAGCACTTCCTGTTTCTAGAAGCAGTAGAGACGCAAATGGAAGTACAAAAACTTGCAAAAAAGAGGAAGTAAAGTTGTATTTTTATAGCACCTTTCACAGACATATAGATCACAAAGACAAAACAAGTTAAAGAAAGAAAACACATAAAGCTAGCTGACCAAATGTGTTAAAGCAACTTGGGTTGCTAGGTGACAGGCTGGACTCCATTGGGGTTGCTAGGTAACGGATTGAACTTACCTAGGACTACTGAGGGCATTGCCTGCTGGTGTAAGTTTTTGAAACGGCTAATTTTCCAGACACCAAAAAACATTAACTTTTTTAAGCACTTGTGCTCTTGTTAGAAGCCCAAATTGAAGTATAAAAACGGACAAAAGCCTCGTATGCTGCACCCACCTGTTGCTCGACAGATCCAGGTAGGTGATGTTGGGGAGGAAGAGGGCAGCATGAGCTGGAAGGCTGGACAGGCGGTTGTTGTGGAGCCCCAGCGTCTGCAGGCGGGGCATGTCTCGGAGCCCCTCCCAGGGGAAGGCGGTCAGCAGGTTCCCGTCCAGGCGCAGCTCCCGCAGCGCCTTCAGGTTGACGAAGCTGCTCGGGTGGACGGATGTTATGGAGTTGTAGGTCAGCCATAAGAAGCGCAGCTCCGACAGGTTGTAGAAAGCTGCTCGGGGAACCCTGGAGATCGAGGTCTTTTCTAGGCGAAGTTTGACCGAGTCGGGTGGAAGGTTCACAGGAAGTGCTGACATCCCGGAGTCGCTGCACTGGACCGACCTGCCAAACATTAAATTAAGATTTAGCTTTATTATTATACAGCTTTTAGAGAAACAAACAGTAAAGCTATAAAGTCATCACTCATTAGGGGAATGGACAGAGCAACTGTGATGTTTGGAGTTACTGTACACTGTAAAAATACATAATTTTACTAAATATTTTGTATTAGTTTCCACTGCAAATATCTTAACACATTTAAGCTCCATTTAAGTCAATAATTCATTAATATTGATAAAAAAGTATTAGTTCTATTGACAGATAAATTAACTTATAACAATGGAAAAATGTCTTGTTATAAGTGAAATAGTCTGCCAATGGAACTAGTACTTTTTCATCAATATTAAGAAATTATTGATTTAAATCAAGCCTCTATATCTTGCAAAAGGTTAGTTTCAACTTCCAGACTACCACCAGAATCAGCACACACTGCAAAAACACAAAATATTACCACATTATATTATATTATATTATATTATATTATATTATATTATATTATATTATTCTTCAGTATTGATGAAAAAGTACTTGGTCCATAGGCTGATTATTTCACTTTCAACAAGACATTTTCTTCTAATAAGTAAATTTTTCTGCCAGTGAAACTAATACTTTTTCATTATTAAGGAATTAGTTAATTAAATTAAGCTCCAATGTCTTGCTGAAAAGTTACTTGTAATTTAGCTTTGTCTTATTTCAAGTTTGCTAAGATATTTGCACTATAAACGAGGCAGAAATACTTGGTAAGATTTTGTGTTCTTTGCAGTGCATGCAGCTCTGAAATCTATTAGAAGGAAAATAACATAACACTTGAGCCTTTTAAGACAATCACAGAAACACACATGGAAAAGATCAAAACAAAAATATGAAACTTTACATTTTTCTGAAAGCTTCTGCTCACAGCAAATGTCTCAGTATTTATTAAATATACGGTAATATCACACGGAGAAAGCAGAACCAGTCAGCTGCACACAGAACCATAGAGATTATTTAAAAACCCAACCTGGGCTCCGTCAGTCCGCTGCTGCAGACACAGAGAACTGGGCAGGAGCGGGTCATCACAGCCGACTGCAGGATGTGAAGAAGAACCAGCAGGAACATCTCGCATCAAACGAATCCTCTGCTCTGCTTCCCCAGGCTTCCCCAGTCCTCATCTTTGCCCATGCTGCAGAATGAAAGGGAATCCCAGATTAGCTAGGATTATAGTTCTTACGGTCGGGATTGTAATCCCTCACCTCAGCGCCAAAGTGGCAGATCACACCATGAGGGCCTGCAGGGGCCCCGTGCAGAATTAAACCCTCCATCCTCTCTGGATTAATTCAGCAGGAGTGATCACAATAAAAACAATCCTGATGTTGTTTTCTTCTTGTTTTTATCGTTTATGTATGAAGCTTCATATAAATATATATATATATATATATATAATCATTTTTTTCTTCCCATTGTTTTGGGTTCCTCTGCTATTTTCACCTCCTCATGTCTGCATATACTTCTCTGTTTTCAATTGTTTATATCTGAACTTTGTCATTTGTGCAACTCTTCCTCTGCACCTCTTCATCCTATTTGCACCTTGTCCTTTCTGCACTCTTTGCAATCTTTTTCAGTTTGCACTTTTAGCTTCCCCCTCACATCATTTTTACTCTCTGCCTATCTGTACCTACTACTTTCTCTACTTTCTTTTGTCTGTACTTCTTCTTTTAGCTTGATAGACCTTTGCATGTGAACACAGAGAGCTCAGTAATACAGGTAGAAGGAACTGCTGTGACCCATTAATCCTCAGAGATGCCAGTCCCCTTTGTTTGGATCAGATGCTGCAGCACAGATTGCTTCTAAACTGAACTAAATGTAGGCTTGAAAACAGGCGATGATTTGCTGCAGAAACTGTGTTTCAGTTTCTGTGGAACATACAAAGCAGCATTTGAATCATATTTTCCGGTATCTGATGCTGTATGACAAATATGTATATTGTGCACTAAGATCAGGCAAGTGTTGTGAAGATATTTTCACACATAGAGGTGTCTGCACCCTGTGCCTCTGGAGTCACATTTAACTTTTTACACATCTAATTTGAGCTAAAGAATTGAGCAGTACTTTAAAATGTAAAGGAAATAAAAAAAATAAATAAATACTAGTTTATCCTACATGTTTGCATGAAAGCAAAGAATGATGCTAATTTCGTAAGTGATATTAGATTTGTATCTTTTAGTTGCAGAATACTGCCTTTTATAAAAAGTTTCTAATAAAAATTGAACTTTCTATAAAATAAATTGTTTTTATTCCCTTTACATAAAGGTTACAGATATTATTTTATTTATTTTATTCAATTAAAATGAACATGTCACATGTTGACATAAGCAAAAGTTTTGAATGAAAAAAACATTGTCTGCCTCTTCTCTCTAAAGTCCTAACTCAATCAACCATCTATATAAACACAAAACAGGCAATGTGGATATATAAAAATAAAATCCACGGATAAAAAGTATTGTAAAACTTCAAAACAGCTATAGATTTCCTACAGTAGAGGCTGTACAAAAAAGCTAATTTGCTTCATGTAGCTTTTGCAGCTCTCAACAACTTCTGTTTGGTTGAACTAAGGGCAAAAATGTCTGTCAAGTTTGTTAATCATGTTCATATTCAGTGAATCCAAAATTAAGTGATTGACTATGTAGAGTTAAAACATTAGAAAGCCCTCAAAAACATAAAAAATGCAGTAAATATGTATTAAGTTGCCCTTCAAGTTGATACATGATAATATCTGCTGAAGAAACGCTGATGTGTCATTAAAATATCAGCAAAAGCAGTGACTCTCCCTCGCCGGCAGGGGGCGCGCCGCACCTCGCTGTCTGTAATCGGGACGCCTCTCCTTCTCCCTCTCTGGGCAGACTCCAACTGCTGCTTTCCCTGGTTAGTTCCCTTCGGGTTCTGGAAGTTGTTACCCGAACATGTCGGCCTCACCGGACCATGGAGACGGGCTCTCTGTGGAGGACCAGAGGAGGCAGAATGCGGCGCAGACCTTCCGCGGGGATCTGTACTCAGTCCGGGTAAATCTGTCACAGTACAAAACCTGCTGTTTTAAACTGATTATGGGTTCGGAGGAAACTCTTCGGAACACTTAGTGTTGTTGGGTCGGCTCAGAAAAGAACAGAGTTAAAACAGCTGAAAGCATTTTAGGTTGAAGTTTGTTCCGTTAAAAACAGCAAGCAGAATTGGTCCGAACTCCGTTGAAAACTCTGATGATTGAGCCGTTTTAGTGTCAACTCAGCGGTTCGGTTTAGTTAGAGTAAAACTGGTGAACATATGTAACCAGCAGGGTTCTGAGCTCAGTTCGGCTTGTGTATTATTCATTTTGGTTCAGTAGTTTTATTGTAAATATCAGGGGATGTTGACAGAAGTGACCAGTGAGGTGCAAGTTGAACAGGTGGTGTTATCGGAATCATGGAGGGTGGAGTTCGAAGAACAGGTAGATTTGTGTGACTGGGAGGAAGGCTGGGAAAACAGGAAGCTGTGTCCCAGCAGGAAGAGCTGTCAACACTTCTGATGGATAAGATCCATTTAGTGTTCCATTAAACCCAGTTAATGATTCAGCATTCACCACAACAGGAGCTTCTCTGAGTGGAACAGCAGCACTTCCTGGTCTGACACCACGCATCTCATCAGAACCTCAAATCAGTTCCGGTCACTCTGTGGGTCTGAACTGCAGAGCCAGCCTAAGGCATATGAGAGTTAAGGGGCTGCTTAGGGCCTCTTCACCACCAGGGGCACCCTGGTGGTGTATCAGTGGTGGTTATATCAGTCTTATTTGTATATCAGTCTGACAAATAAGACTGATATAATGTATTCTAATTAGAAATTACATGATAGCAGGTATGTTACACACATACTGGTACAGTAGCCATTATATTAGAGCCATACGAATAAAAAAATAATAATTACAAGAATAAATTGTAAAATTACAAGAATAAAGTCATGATATGAAGAGAATTAACTTGTATGAGACTAAAGTTGTACAAGAATAAAGTCAAAATAATGGGAATAAAGTCAATATTTAAAAAATAAAGTCATAATATTTTGAGAATAAAGTCATAATATTACGAAATATTATTTCAAATTATTATATTATTATCATAATATTATCAGTTTATTCTCGTAATTGTATTATTTTATTTTATTAACATGGCCGTGTTGTAATGCTGATAAGAGGGGCCCCGAATGAAAATATTCTTAAGGTCCCAAAAAGGTTTTGGCCGGCCCTGCTGAATCTGCATCTATCCATTAATTTATGATTGTTGTGATTGGAGCTGGACAAATTAAACCAAAATGAAACTTTATCCCTGCAGATGGATCCCAGCCGGACCCGAACACGCCCTCCAAGCGAAGCGGGACTGCAGCAATCCCAAGAGCCGGCGGTCCCAGCTCCTCAGTTGGACGACTGCGAGAGGATGGGGACTCTGTTTGGGATGATCAACAAGTGCTTGCGGGGCGTGGGCTTCAACCAGGTCTACTTCGGGGACCGGACAGTGGAGCCAGTGGTGGTGCTGGTCTTCTGGGTTCTGCTCTGGTTCCTGGGTTTCCAAGCTTTGGGATTGGTGGGAACTCTGTGCATCATCATCATCTACATCCAGAAGTGATGATCCGAGTGAAGCTGCTGGGTCCTCTGGTGCAGACTGGTTTCATGCTGACGGCAGGACGTTTGAAGTTATTTAAGGTGGAAATAAACCCTCATTTGCGAACGTTTGGGTTTCCTCCTGGACAATCAAATGGAGCTGTTATTTCCTGCTTTAATTATAATAATAGAAGCTCTGTGCATTAACAGCCAAAGATGATAATTTCCTCCAAACAGCCTAACCTTTTTCTATTTCCTGTTTAATGACTAAATTGATTACTTGGTTTGATTTTAAAATATTTGCCTTCACCTTCCGTTTCTCACTTCCAGTAATCATTCCGGGGTATTGCAGAAAATATTCGGTCCAGTTTGCATTTCACCATGATGCCCCCATCACCCTCAACCCAATAGATTCACAGAACATTGTTTGTGTTCAGGAGGTTCACTGTAAAAACACAAAATCTTACCAGGTATTTTGGGTCTAGTTTTTGGTACAAATATCTTTGTACACTTGAAACAAGACAAATCTAACTTCCAAGTAAGTGTTTAGCAAGATATAGGAGATTGTTTTAAGTAAATAATTATTTAATATTGATGAAAAAGTTCAATTGGTAGATTATCTCTTGAGTGAAATAATATGTCAGTAGAACTAGTATTTTTTAATCAATATTAAAAAATTATTGATTGAAAATAAGCTTCTATCTCTTCCTGAAAAGTTATTTGTGAGTTAGTTTTCTTAAATCAAGTGTACTAAGACATTTTCACTAGAAACTAGATGAAATTACGTTGCAAGATTTTTTTGTTTTTGTTGAAAAGTATCACGGCGGTGTGTGGTGTGTAAACTTCCATTTGTTTGAATTGGTTCTAGAGAAACCCTTGTCTGGTTCTGAATGGAGTTCTGCCTCACATCAATCCCGGTTTTTCAGGTTCTGTTAATTCGCCTCACTGAGTCATTGCTTTTTTACAGTTGATTGTAAAAACAGTTGATTGTTTTAGATTCTGATGAGGATCAAACATGGATACAGCCTCTTATCTTTGCTTTGAAAACATATCTGATATAAAATAAGCAGCTTAAACTCAAATGCTGGAGCTAAGTTGCTTTCAGAGGAGGCTTTGTCTGTTTATTGGTTCAGAGGAAACTACAAATAGTTCAAACTGAGGCGCCACTGAACATATCTTCACACTGTCTGCAAGCTTCACTTACATTGAATGTGATTAAATGAGGCTTTCTGCTGTTTTTACTGCAAAAACATAAATTCTTATCAAGTATTTTGTTCTAGTTTTTAGTTCAAATATCTTAGCACAGTTGAAATAAGACAAAACTTACTTACAACTAACTTTTCAGCAAGATAGGAGCTTGTAAGTCAGTAATTCCTTAATATATACTAAAAAGTACTTGTTCCACTGAGATTTTCACCTATAACGTGACATTTTCCCATGTTTTAAGTGAGACTTTTACTTATTTTTAATCAATATTAAGAAATTATTTACTTAAAACAAACTCCTACATCTTGCTGAAAAGTAACCTGCAAGATAGTTTTGTCGTATTTCAAGTGTACAAAGATATTTGCACTATATACCAGACCAAAAATACTTTTGTGTTTTTCCAGTGTTTTAAAAATCAGATTCAACATCAATTTGGAGGAAAAACACTAAAGATACAAACCTCTTTATTTCTCCTACATGAGGACATTGTGCTTCTGACACTGCAATGTTGGTTTAAAATGTGATTTTAATAAAAGGTTTGCTGATTATACACCTCTGGTACGCTCTGTCCACTGAACTTAAACTTCAGCCGTCTAACCACAGGGTGAAACCGAAAGCACAGATAATTAAATATGACTTACTGTGTTTAACTTTTCCCTCCCTTGTATCATGGATATAATTAAGCATGTTGGAAAAATTTTCAGAATTTGTCTTTTAGCACATTTATGATGAGTATGAACCTTTTGTGTTTGACATTTAAACATTTTCACTGATTGCCTCAAAGTATGTAGCAACACTGGGGAGGAAAACCTCATTAGGTTGCATATGAGTAGACATCTGCCTTGACTGGTGGGATGTTCAAATTACAAGAAAGAAGCCCAGAAAATAACTTTAGTTGATGGCTTCTGAGATAAAATATTCAACTTTTTAGACTCGGAAAATTTCCATTTTTTTCGACAAAATTTCGGAGGATTTTTTTTTTTTTTTTT